TCATATAAATGTCAGCAATATTTTCTCACCAAAAATAAACATTTTCAAATTGAAATGACCATTGAATTTCAATCTCCCCATCTGAAAGTCTGAGTTACTATTAATATGATTTTGAATTACTACTATTTGTGTTCGAAATTTGTGATGAATCTTTTGGTTTCCTCAGCATCTTAAGTTAATATATCCATTTCATTACTTATTCAATTAGCTTATAGGTTTATTCCATTTAAGCAAATTTAATCTTATTATTCTATTTATTTAAAAAAAAAAAAGAAACTCAAACTTATATTAGAGCATTTTTATACAATGCTTCAAATGATTTTATAAATATTGATTTACTTGCTGTATACAGAAGGTTGGCTGCTTCATAGTAAAAACCGTATACGCTATTCGGTTTTGCTATGAAGTCAACAATTGACTTCATAGTGGAGCCAACTTTCTATATACAACAAGTAAATCATACCTTATTCTCTGATTACTTAAATAACAGTAATAATTTTATTAATATTGTATGATTTACTTGCTATATATAGAAGGTTGACTCCACTATATAGTCACAACAGTTGGCTTCATAACAAAACCGAATATCTATTAATCAAAATTAATTAACTCATCACTTAAGCATAGATTATGAGTTAGATTTACCAAACATATTACAAATAAAAAAAAAATATTTTCCATATAGAAAGAGGGAAGGGGAAGCAAGCAAAAATATGCCAAAGATTCCTCATTTGAAAAGGAAAAGAAAAAAAAAAATTAATTCACTATTGAAAAAAAAATGTATATATTTCAGGAGTGTGAGATTGACAGGCAGATCCCCACCGAAATAAAAATTAAATAAAATTTTTAACCCACTCTTTATCTTCATAAATAAAAACCCCCCACAACAGAAATTCACCCATCATTTTGACATATTTATTTATTTTTTTTTTTCTTTTCTTCTTTATTTTTATTTATTTTTCTTCAGCTGGTAATTTGTCACGGCAAAGGAGCTCATAAGCTATAGTTGCAAATCAAAACACAAAATCGCAAAACAAAATAGATCATAGGGAAAGAAAAAAAAAAAAAAATAGAAATCAATTTTGCGGCCTTCTTGCAAGACAAGATGCTCGGCGTGTCCGCAGGCCTCACGGGCACCCCCGGCGGAGGAGCCCCGCCGGCGGCGAGAGAAGGCCAGGAGAGCGGCGGCGCTAGCGGCGGCAGCAGCGAGGTCGGCGGGCCGGGACCGGTCAATCCGCGCGGCGGCGGTGGGGGCTTTGACGAGGGCGATAGGAGTGTCGGCGGCGGCGGCGGGAACCGGTGGCCGCGGCACGAGACGCTTGCTCTGCTGAAAATCCGGTCGGACATGGACGCCGTTTTTAGGGATGCAAGCCTCAAGGGGCCATTATGGGACGAAGTCTCCAGGTCAGTGAAAATTGTAATTATATTTATTTTA